TCGTGTTATATTCAAGATCTACTATACTATACTACGCCTTTTTGAATATTAATTTCTTATCGATTGAATAACGTTCTATTATTGAAATTTGCTGGAATATTCGCACGTGGAATAATCTTAAATTCATCGATTATTCTTACTTAAGGGCGCATAACTATTAGATATATTTATCCAAAGATGATGTACGTCGAGTTAATGCAAATTAGCATGCAAGATAAATGACTCTCTGCGGATCACTCATACGACGTAACGTAAGATGACTCGACTTTAAATCCGTTATATTCATTTTACGGAATCGCTTATCTTACTAATGTTAGATTAGATTAGTAGACTACTTTGGGGCTTAACGTAATTATTATGACATCATGTATTAAAAGTGTATAGAAATGACTTTCATAAAATCTTCGGTACTATCTTCGGTCGTGCTGAAATAAAACAAGTCTATATTGTTTGTATTGTTTGGATATATACGGAATACACAAGGAAACGCGAGAGGAAAAATTGGAGAACTGAGAATTGGCCCTCGCGTATCTCTCTTCGTGGTTTGTCTGTACGTTTGACATTTGGTGCCTTACGATGACCGCGATTGAAATATGAGCCTTCACGTCGCGAACGTCCAACCGTCTGGTCCGGTCTCGCGAAGTGGAGGAACTGGATTTCAGTCATAGAGACGGTGCGCGTACAAAGTTGAAATTGGCACTTACGATGGACGCCCATTGCGCTTTCGCTGAATATTCATGTGCCATGGTAAAGGGTTATTGAACCGTTGCAAGTCTGAACCTTGAATGAGCTGAGTTACATAAAGAATATCGCGAACGGTTGTCGATCGAAAACAAGAAAATGTGTAATTATCCGGTTCTAAATTGTATAGGATGCGCGTCGCTAACATTCTAATAAATTACTTGTGAACGATCTATTGCTAACGATCATGCTAACTTATGTGGAATTGTTATTAGAAATTGTTGCGTCAAATTTCAAATATTTTCTCTCTCCTACGATAAAAATAATACAAAGTCCTTAATTAAAATATTCCAACGTTATCCGTATATAATAATATTAATCTGTTAACAGAGTAATAATATAAATGTATTAGAAATAATTAGCAGGACTCGATCTTATTTCAAATAAATTTATTTAATATATATATATTTTAAATAAAGAAAAAATTAAACAGTTATTTAGTATTTATTATTTAAAATAACTTCTTCTGATCTATTTCTTGTTTAATATTTTAAATAAGTTTTTGGAACTTATTTTATATTTTTTATTTTAAATAAGTTGTATCAATTTTTTTCGACTTTGAATTTTAAATAATTTTCTGGAGCCTATTTTATATTTTTTATTTTATATAAATTGTATCAGTACGTTACCGATCCGTCGGTAAAAATGATAGTGAGTAATCAAATTATAGTATATTTATGATAAACTGTAGCACGTATAGAAGATACATCCGTTAATTTTCTACCTGGTTCGCGAACAAGAGTTAATACTATTAAATATTAATTACATATAAACTGTAGCTATAAAAAAATTGAAATGTTATATTTAGAACGTTATATTTAGAAATATATATTTGTATATTCGAATAAACAAAATCATTAAAATATTTTTTATTTATTATTTGAAACATTTATTTAAATACATATTTCTTACTTTATATTTTAGATAAGTTTCCGAAATCTATTTTTTATTTAAAATAAGAAATAGCCTTCGATAACTTATTTAAAATAAAAAACAAATTATTTTTATATTTTAAATAAAAGTTATTCTATATTTTAAATAAATAAATGCATTTTAGGGCCCTATTTCTTATTTTATATTTTAAATAATTTCTTGTAACCTATTTCTTAATATCTTTTAATATTACAAATAAGTTTTTGGAACCGATTTTATATCTTTTATTTCAAATAAGTCGTATCAATGATTTTATCGACTCCTACAATTTTATATTTAAATAAGTTTCTGAAACTTATTTTATATTTTTTTATTTTAATTAAGTCATATCAGTTATTTTACCGAATCCATATAATAATAGGAAATATAATAATAATGTAATAATATACATATATATATATATATAATATAATAATATAATAATATAAATATGAAAACAATGGGAAGAGATTAATGTAATTGATTTAAAAACTTTAATACTTTTTTAATCTGACAGGTATCATCACAAATCAAGGGAAATAAAAAAAGATTTGAATGTATCGCATATTTTGATCTTGGATAATGTGCTACATCAGATGAATTTCAATCAATAATACAAATAACGCAAAATACTCATAGACTAACAATAGCGCGTTTGATCTGCGCTTTAGTGGTATACAATATCTCCTATCGGTATCATAAAATAGCATCGATTTTATCATCGCAGAGACGAAGTCTGTGTGATTGTGAGTGTCAGAATAATTTTCGTTAATTAATGAAATAGATTAAAACACGGAAAAGCGCTCTCGACGCTGCCGGACGCGGTCACGTTAGTTGACAGCGCGAAAAGGTATAATGTCGTCTGCATATCCAACGTTGGTCCATTTATAACATTCGCTGTAATGTGTGAGTTTATGCAACGCACATACTAAAAATACTTATTGATATAATTGTCATTAAATGAGGCGTCTGCCTCTATTTGGATGACCCGATCATTACGATACCCGATCACCTTGTTTATTAAAGAGCCAATATGTCGTTCACATTATCGCTTCGCGATTGCTTCTGTGGACTTTAATATTAATTTTATCCGATCAATTCTTCGTAATTTCTTGAATAGAAAATTATGAAGGAACGCGTGAAAAAGTTTAAAGGAAAATTAAAATTTATAAAATTTCATATTCGTAATTTTATAAATTCGTTATTTTATTTTAAGTATCCTTGAAGCAGAATCTAAAATGGTTCTTTTTCCATTTTTATTTTTGTCTTAAAACATCATAAGAAGTTTTAAAAAAAATACTTTTCCTAACTCTTTCAGATAAAAAAAAAGTAAAACTCTGGCCAGCAAAAAAATTATATTATTAGAACACTTTGATTTATAACCCAATTTTAAGGGTTCAATGTAAAAAAAAAAAAATACTGACATCGTTCCTTAAGAAACGATTGACGATAGATCAGGATTATATTGATCATATAACTTTTTTTCTAGTAGCGCAAAACACAAAAAAAAAATATATATATATATATGGTGTAATATATAGTATTATGCATACAAAAAATTTTCTTTTCACGTTTTCGCCCCGAAGGGGTTACATAATCGATATCCTAAAATCTTGCACCTTTTATTCTGTGCTGGAGATTTCTTACTTACGAGAAAAAGTCTTTGCTACGTTCGTCTAGTGGCAATACCGCGTACTATTCTTTTCGAGTTTTGTACCCCCATTACGAATATTACGACTATTACGAATAGAAAAAAAGACTTCTTTGGAATTTTGATTTATGAATCCCGGTAAAAAATTTTTCATGCATGAATATGTATAAACATGTATAAACATACATAAACATGCATAAATATTCATAAACGTATAATTATATATGAAATATGTCCATACATGTACACACTCATCCTTTTTTCTTTTGTAAAATTACTTTTTAGTGTAATAGAAATAATAATAGTAACGTAAAAATGTTAAAAATAATTAAAAAGGTAATTTTCGCACTATTTGTTTTAGAAAAAAATCAAATTTGAAGAAGTGTAAAAAATTATTTATGTATAATTATATATAAAATTATGCATAATTATGTATGAGCAATTTTGTTACTTTTTTTTAAATTTGTTTTTTTTTTCTAAAACAAACAATGCGAAAATTATCCCTTTAATTATTTTTTATGTTTCTACATTATTATTACTTCTATTGCACTAAAAAGTAATTTTACAAAAGAAAGAGAGAGAGAGAGAGAGAGAGAGAGAGAGAGAGAGAGAGAAAGATATATATGGACATATTTCATATATATAATAATTATACATGTTTATGCGTGTGTATGTTAATACACAGGATTGGGAAGTAACGCATTACTTGTAACCGTTACCGTTTTCGTTAATTTTTCAGTAACGATCGTTACTTTTTCTATCTGTAACGATAACGGTCGTTACATTTTTAGTACGAATTTAGCCATTACTTTTACCATTACAGTTCCCTATTATTTTCTTATTTTATAATTTATTCTTAATTTCTTAAAAAGTATTTTGTACTTAATATTTTATACTGTGTTCTAGGCACTGCCAATGTTAAAAATATATAATTTACATTACATATATATATATATATATATACTGTAAATTTTTGGTACGGACAATAAATATTGATAATACAGAGAAATAATACACTTAGTTATCCTGGTGGAAATAAATTGTTGAAATTGCTGAAAATCACTGAAATCTCTATCAATTGACTCAACAATTGACGACAATTGACTGATTATAAATTATACTGAAATGGATCTTGATAAAGATTTCATCAATTTATTTCCACCAGGAAACATTAACATTTAAAAACAATATATAATCTATTATATATTATTATCTACTTTAATCTAAATTCTTATAAAAATGACTACATTAAAATAATGATATTAAATAAAATAAAGAATTAGTAAAATTATAGGTAAGTTTAATATAGAGAAAAGCTTACTCTATATACAAACTAGTTAGTACAGAGCTTCAAGTTTGAATATTTTATTTCACATTTAGTATTAAGTTAGTTATCAGCTAATGTAATTTTAAAATCTAATAACTTATTTTAGCATTATAACAAGAAGTAACGAAAAAGTAATGAATCGTTACTTTTTAAGTAACAATAAAAAGTAACGCGTTACTTTTTTGAAGTAACGCGCACAACTCTGTTTATAGATACATATTTATTCATGCATGAAAAATTTTTTACTGGAAAAGTTAAACTAATTAGAGTTTTAGTAGTCCTTCAGACTTTTTCGACGACTTTCTTCGATAAAGAAAATAAATTAAAATCAAGTCATATGTAACGTTAGGTATACGTGTAGCGTGTCAGGTAAATATATACAATGCGTGACACTGTGTGACTACAGTATTTTTCTCGAGGACTGATCGGCTGAATGGAATCTCGACAATGAGTGCAAGCGAATCCGTGAGTCAACTCTTTTCGGAATCTGTTGCTAATGACAAGATTTTTACGATCGGAGTCACTGTGGACACAGGTACGAAATTATTCGTGAACTTGTTCATGAGATAAGGAGAAATCCACGCGCCTCTCTTAAACATAACCTACAACAAAGTCCTACAATAAATGATTTTGTTTACTCAGGTTTCGAATGGGAAGCAATTGACGAATGCAAAGAGAAATTGGGCAAAGATGTTCGGGTGATTAGGCAACGCGGAAGAATCTATTTTAATATTGATTGGGACGAATTTCCAAAAGTATTCTTCTATACAACTCAGATTATTTTTTTAAATGTAGGTGCAAGAATCATAATATTTATGTTTTGTCATATATGTTATAGGTTCAAGAAATGAGATCGATAGATCACATATTCATAGTAGCTGACAACGGAAATTTATCGTTTAATAATGACAAAGAATCAGACTTATTGCATATAAGAAGTTATAACTTGGACATACTTTCGAACTCAGATAAAATATGGAAGAAAACTCTTGAAGCATGGAAATGTGCAACAAGTTTCAAAGGAAAACTTTATCCAACGACTGAAGAATACGTTGAAGCTAAAAAGGAAGATCTAGTAGCCAAAACAGAAATGTTAGAAATGCGTAACAAAGAAAAGGAAGAAAAAGATCCCTATGATTGGAATGTATCAGAGATGAAAGAAGAGAAAGGAAAAAAAAGGGGTCAAGATCCTTCAAAATCCCAAGAGAACGATGTACTCAAATACAGAGTAACGTGTGAGAGGAATGGTAAACATGCAGTTGAATCCAAGGATGTTGCTAGGGTTATCGGAGAGGTATTACAGGACAAGTTTCATTGGTTGGTTGACTTGTCCATGTATCATCTAGAAATTCTCTGCAAATTGGTAAATGGTATGAGAATTAATAGATTAATTGAATTTTAACAATTTTACGAAATGTACACGTATGAAGTTTTATAACAATATATACCTCCTATTATAGAATCAATTATATATGAATATATATGAATGAAACAAGCTGAATACTAATTATTTCTAAACATTTCAGATCAATTAATAACGCATTTACGAGTAACGCACAAATCCAAGCACCATAGAAATATTGTAAATTTTGGACCAACTACTCTTAGATCAACTATATGTTACAATTTGCTAAAATTGGCCAATCCCAAGCTAGGAGATATAATAGTAGATCCTATGTGCGGGGGAGGTTCTATTCCTATAGAGGTATATTGCATGTTTACAATAATAAAATTAATAGTTCATAAAATTCTATTCAAACAATTTCAGGCAACACTAGCTTTTCCACATTCATATGTCTTATGTGGCGACAATGATTCCAGAGCTATAGATAGAACAAAGTCAAATATGGATGCTTCAGCAATTACATGTAAAATAGATCTCGTACAATGGACTGCTTCAAAATTGCCATTCAAAGATTCTTTTGTCGATATTATTGTTACTGATATGGTATGGAAATTAATCATTAAAAATTTTGTTTCAACATTATAATTAATTTTTACATATTTTTATTTTTACTTTTTCATTAAAAATGATCATTTTTTAAATAATCTGCAGCCTTTTGGTAAAAGAAGTGGGAATAAGTTTTACAACAAAATTTTTTACAAAAAATTTTTGCTAGAATTTGGTCGTATAGTAAAATTAAACGGACGAATAGTTCTACTGACTTATGATAGAAATAACTTTAAAGACGTAAGTTTTTATTATATATATATATATATAATATAATAATATAATAATATAAATATGAAAACAATGGGAAGAGATTAATGTAATTGATTTAAAAACTTTAATACTTTTTTAATCTGACAGGTATCATCACAAATCAAGGGAAATAAAAAAAGATTTGAATGTATCGCATATTTTGATCTTGGATAATGTGCTACATCAGATGAATTTCAATCAATAATACAAATAACGCAAAATACTCATAGACTAACAATAGCGCGTTTGATCTGCGCTTTAGTGGTATACAATATCTCCTATCGGTATCATAAAATAGCATCGATTTTATCATCGCAGAGACGAAGTCTGTGTGATTGTGAGTGTCAGAATAATTTTCGTTAATTAATGAAATAGATTAAAACACGGAAAAGCGCTCTCGACGCTGCCGGACGCGGTCACGTTAGTTGACAGCGCGAAAAGGTATAATGTCGTCTGCATATCCAACGTTGGTCCATTTATAACATTCGCTGTAATGTGTGAGTTTATGCAACGCACATACTAAAAATACTTATTGATATAATTGTCATTAAATGAGGCGTCTGCCTCTATTTGGATGACCCGATCATTACGATACCCGATCACCTTGTTTATTAAAGAGCCAATATGTCGTTCACATTATCGCTTCGCGATTGCTTCTGTGGACTTTAATATTAATTTTATCCGATCAATTCTTCGTAATTTCTTGAATAGAAAATTATGAAGGAACGCGTGAAAAAGTTTAAAGGAAAATTAAAATTTATAAAATTTCATATTCGTAATTTTATAAATTCGTTATTTTATTTTAAGTATCCTTGAAGCAGAATCTAAAATGGTTCTTTTTCCATTTTTATTTTTGTCTTAAAACATCATAAGAAGTTTTAAAAAAAATACTTTTCCTAACTCTTTCAGATAAAAAAAAAGTAAAACTCTGGCCAGCAAAAAAATTATATTATTAGAACACTTTGATTTATAACCCAATTTTAAGGGTTCAATGTAAAAAAAAAAAAATACTGACATCGTTCCTTAAGAAACGATTGACGATAGATCAGGATTATATTGATCATATAACTTTTTTTCTAGTAGAGCAAAACACAAAAAAAAAATATATATATATATATGGTGTAATATATAGTATTATGCATACAAAAAATTTTCTTTTCACGTTTTCGCCCCGAAGGGGTTACATAATCGATATCCTAAAATCTTGCACCTTTTATTCTGTGCTGGAGATTTCTTACTTACGAGAAAAAGTCTTTGCTACGTTCGTCTAGTGGCAATACCGCGTACTATTCTTTTCGAGTTTTGTACCCCCATTACGAATATTACGACTATTACGAATAGAAAAAAAGACTTCTTTGGAATTTTGATTTATGAATCCCGGTAAAAAATTTTTCATGCATGAATATGTATAAACATGTATAAACATACATAAACATGCATAAATATTCATAAACGTATAATTATATATGAAATATGTCCATACATGTACACACTCATCCTTTTTTCTTTTGTAAAATTACTTTTTAGTGTAATAGAAATAATAATAGTAACGTAAAAATGTTAAAAATAATTAAAAAGGTAATTTTCGCACTATTTGTTTTAGAAAAAAATCAAATTTGAAGAAGTGTAAAAAATTATTTATGTATAATTATATATAAAATTATGCATAATTATGTATGAGCAATTTTGTTACTTTTTTTTAAATTTGTTTTTTTTTTCTAAAACAAACAATGCGAAAATTATCCCTTTAATTATTTTTTATGTTTCTACATTATTATTACTTCTATTGCACTAAAAAGTAATTTTACAAAAGAAAGAGAGAGAGAGAGAGAGAGAGAGAGAGAGAGAGAGAGAGAAAGATATATATGGACATATTTCATATATATAATAATTATACATGTTTATGCGTGTGTATGTTAATACACAGGATTGGGAAGTAACGCATTACTTGTAACCGTTACCGTTTTCGTTAATTTTTCAGTAACGATCGTTACTTTTTCTATCTGTAACGATAACGGTCGTTACATTTTTAGTACGAATTTAGCCATTACTTTTACCATTACAGTTCCCTATTATTTTCTTATTTTATAATTTATTCTTAATTTCTTAAAAAGTATTTTGTACTTAATATTTTATACTGTGTTCTAGGCACTGCCAATGTTAAAAATATATAATTTACATTACATATATATATATATATATACTGTAAATTTTTGGTACGGACAATAAATATTGATAATACAGAGAAATAATACACTTAGTTATCCTGGTGGAAATAAATTGTTGAAATTGCTGAAAATCACTGAAATCTCTATCAATTGACTCAACAATTGACGACAATTGACTGATTATAAATTATACTGAAATGGATCTTGATAAAGATTTCATCAATTTATTTCCACCAGGAAACATTAACATTTAAAAACAATATATAATCTATTATATATTATTATCTACTTTAATCTAAATTCTTATAAAAATGACTACATTAAAATAATGATATTAAATAAAATAAAGAATTAGTAAAATTATAGGTAAGTTTAATATAGAGAAAAGCTTACTCTATATACAAACTAGTTAGTACAGAGCTTCAAGTTTGAATATTTTATTTCACATTTAGTATTAAGTTAGTTATCAGCTAATGTAATTTTAAAATCTAATAACTTATTTTAGCATTATAACAAGAAGTAACGAAAAAGTAATGAATCGTTACTTTTTAAGTAACAATAAAAAGTAACGCGTTACTTTTTTGAAGTAACGCGCACAACTCTGTTTATAGATACATATTTATTCATGCATGAAAAATTTTTTACTGGAAAAGTTAAACTAATTAGAGTTTTAGTAGTCCTTCAGACTTTTTCGACGACTTTCTTCGATAAAGAAAATAAATTAAAATCAAGTCATATGTAACGTTAGGTATACGTGTAGCGTGTCAGGTAAATATATACAATGCGTGACACTGTGTGACTACAGTATTTTTCTCGAGGACTGATCGGCTGAATGGAATCTCGACAATGAGTGCAAGCGAATCCGTGAGTCAACTCTTTTCGGAATCTGTTGCTAATGACAAGATTTTTACGATCGGAGTCACTGTGGACACAGGTACGAAATTATTCGTGAACTTGTTCATGAGATAAGGAGAAATCCACGCGCCTCTCTTAAACATAACCTACAACAAAGTCCTACAATAAATGATTTTGTTTACTCAGGTTTCGAATGGGAAGCAATTGACGAATGCAAAGAGAAATTGGGCAAAGATGTTCGGGTGATTAGGCAACGCGGAAGAATCTATTTTAATATTGATTGGGACGAATTTCCAAAAGTATTCTTCTATACAACTCAGATTATTTTTTTAAATGTAGGTGCAAGAATCATAATATTTATGTTTTGTCATATATGTTATAGGTTCAAGAAATGAGATCGATAGATCACATATTCATAGTAGCTGACAACGGAAATTTATCGTTTAATAATGACAAAGAATCAGACTTATTGCATATAAGAAGTTATAACTTGGACATACTTTCGAACTCAGATAAAATATGGAAGAAAACTCTTGAAGCATGGAAATGTGCAACAAGTTTCAAAGGAAAACTTTATCCAACGACTGAAGAATACGTTGAAGCTAAAAAGGAAGATCTAGTAGCCAAAACAGAAATGTTAGAAATGCGTAACAAAGAAAAGGAAGAAAAAGATCCCTATGATTGGAATGTATCAGAGATGAAAGAAGAGAAAGGAAAAAAAAGGGGTCAAGATCCTTCAAAATCCCAAGAGAACGATGTACTCAAATACAGAGTAACGTGTGAGAGGAATGGTAAACATGCAGTTGAATCCAAGGATGTTGCTAGGGTTATCGGAGAGGTATTACAGGACAAGTTTCATTGGTTGGTTGACTTGTCCATGTATCATCTAGAAATTCTCTGCAAATTGGTAAATGGTATGAGAATTAATAGATTAATTGAATTTTAACAATTTTACGAAATGTACACGTATGAAGTTTTATAACAATATATACCTCCTATTATAGAATCAATTATATATGAATATATATGAATGAAACAAGCTGAATACTAATTATTTCTAAACATTTCAGATCAATTAATAACGCATTTACGAGTAACGCACAAATCCAAGCACCATAGAAATATTGTAAATTTTGGACCAACTACTCTTAGATCAACTATATGTTACAATTTGCTAAAATTGGCCAATCCCAAGCTAGGAGATATAATAGTAGATCCTATGTGCGGGGGAGGTTCTATTCCTATAGAGGTATATTGCATGTTTACAATAATAAAATTAATAGTTCATAAAATTCTATTCAAACAATTTCAGGCAACACTAGCTTTTCCACATTCATATGTCTTATGTGGCGACAATGATTCCAGAGCTATAGATAGAACAAAGTCAAATATGGATGCTTCAGCAATTACATGTAAAATAGATCTCGTACAATGGACTGCTTCAAAATTGCCATTCAAAGATTCTTTTGTCGATATTATTGTTACTGATATGGTATGGAAATTAATCATTAAAAATTTTGTTTCAACATTATAATTAATTTTTACATATTTTTATTTTTACTTTTTCATTAAAAATGATCATTTTTTAAATAATCTGCAGCCTTTTGGTAAAAGAAGTGGGAATAAGTTTTACAACAAAATTTTTTACAAAAAATTTTTGCTAGAATTTGGTCGTATAGTAAAATTAAACGGACGAATAGTTCTACTGACTTATGATAGAAATAACTTTAAAGACGTAAGTTTTTATTATAATTATGTATAGCAATTAAAATATGAAAGAAAAGAACTAAAGTAAAATATTTTACTATGATCTGAAAACAAATTCTATTCTTCATTTTAGGCTCTGATGGCAGCTGGTGATTTATTCTGGGTGATAAAAATAATTGGAGTAAATGTGGGAGGCCTTCCAGCTGCAGTTTATGTT